TGGATTATAATGGGGAATATTACACTGTAATGTTCCCTATTATAATCTATTTCTCTGATTAAATGATTACAGGTAGGCATGTGATCTATCAAAGTTTGAGACTACGTTAGAATGTGTGACCAGTGACGTGGTCACACATTTTAACGTAATCTCACCCAGTTTTTCGGTGGTGGAATAAGTGAAGAATTCCAATGCTTTAATTTTTTGGTGTAACTGTATTTTATTTTGAAGGCATGTTTAAATACAATTAAATTAAAATTATTAAATCAAAACAATCTAAAATATAAACAATCAACGTCCCCCCCTCAGCGGGCCACAGTAAAATTATGAAACGTTGACCGGTCTGCACCGATAAAAAGGTTGGGGAGCACTGATGTAAGGGACCCGGGCTGGCCCCCCAGGCTGCCCGGGCCCCTTACATGAGTATCGGCCGTACCCCCCTGATGGCTGCCCTACTCCTATGTAATGTTAAGGAGGGGACTGTGTGGAGTTTGGTTTACTATTATTAACACTGTCTGTACTGTGCTTGTAGATTTAATTATCAGTTAACTAGATTTGAACACTGTCTATCGTAACAAAGGGCTAAAGTTCTAGAATCATTGTATGTTAATGAGGGGAAGTGCAGTCTGTGCCTCAATTCGTCCCTCTACCACCCCTACTCTTTCCTCACCAAAGAAACTAAGAAAAGGTTAAAAATATGTTTAATGTTTTATTTTATTTTTTGCATGTAGTGTAGGAACACATACAAAACACATAGGGGGGTTTCTCAAATTTGACTGCAAAAGTAAAAATACAATTTTAATATAGATTTGATGTTTACATAAACTTAAAGGACTCATTCAGATGAGGGGGAGAGGGACAGGTGCTGTGTGTAATTGCAGTATGCATCCAAGGGCAGACACCCAGACCTGCACGGTGTGCATATGACAGCATGTAATTCCGTGCAGCCACATCCTCTTATAGGGAAGAACAGGCTGCTGAGTGCAATCACACACAGCATCTGTCCCTCACAGGATTTGCTCTTTATGTGGGCGTGCATGCCGTACAGACGTGTATGCCCATCTGAATGAGCCCTCAATGAGTAACATTCAAAGGAAATCTCCAGCTGTTACGTACCTTCTGGGAGACCGGATGTGAGAGGAGGCTTCCCTTGCACCTTGTTTCCTGGGAGACTCTGAGGATGGGAACAGAGCCCAGCGGGACAACAAGTGGCAGGAGTGCCAGTGGTGTTGAGCACCGTGCAAGCCGTAATCCAATGGGCAATCCGAGGTCAGGTTCCAAGCAGGCAATTCCAGTACAAAAGGGGTCAGGCAGAAGAATGGTCAAATAACAGTTCCGAGGCCAAGGCAGGCAGAATTCAAGGTTAATCGAGGAAGTCCGGGTCACAAGGATCAAGCAAGATATCAACAAACTGGAACAAGGATTAGCTGACAATAAACCAGCAACATGGTGGTACTGCTGCTGGGTTTATGTAGGGCCAGTGATGTCATTTCCTGTGCGCCATCATGGCAGATTTTCATGCTGACGGATTACTGCTTCTGTGCATGCGCGGGATGCGCATCTTCTTCCGCGCAGGTTACTGTTTATGCGCATCTTCTTCCGCATAGGTTACTGTTTCTGCGCATGCGCAGAATGGCGCGTTCCCGAGCAGCGAGGGAACGCGCAGGCCGCACATGCGCAGATGGCGGGGATCCTTTACACCAGCACTGTACTTGACTCTAACTTGTTTTGAATTTTATCATATGCCTGCATTAACTTTGCTTCAAGATTCACCATCTTCTACCTGCATGAACCTTTTGAACTATTCCAGTGGAAGATCAAACTTTCTATATTCCAGTAAGGCATCCTTGGGGATGGGCTTTGAGTGAGAAGAAGGCATTAGGGTATGGAGGAAATGTGGAATATGTCTTATCATTCTTGTTTCCTTTTTGCACCTGTTTATTGAGTACTTTGCCCAAGGCAATGCTGCTCTAGTTTTTTGTCCAGAAAAATGGTAAATGTTCCTGTTTTACAATTTCACCTTCATTAGTGTCCAGATAATTATGGCACATAAACCATGTACCGATAATTAATCCTAAATCTAAAACTGTAAACAAGACATGTACACCTTCATGTTGCCTGGAGACGGTCAATGCCCCTTATATTCTGTTAAACTATAAATTGTGATTGCAAGAACAATTTAGCAGAGTACTCTTATATCTCTCCAATATTGATGTATGGTCAATAAATTCACCTATTCATAAAAGAACGCAGAGTCTCGTCCTGGGTTGACAACGACAATAGGATACAGGCAGCTGGGTTGCATAGTCTCTTTACTTGCTAGGCACACTAAGTCTTAGCCCGCACAATCAGCAAAATCATGTGCTCTCCTTCAGTTGGCCATTGCCTGCCTTTTAGGTCTGCCATTCCTCCTGCACACTAGAGGCAGCTTACATCCATTTGGATAAACCCACACATCAAGCTGACAACACTATGGGTTGTCAGCCTTCAACTAGAAATGCTGTGCCTAGTAGGGTCTCCAGGTAAGAAACGTTTTTGTTACAGATTCACAAAAAAATATTTGCTTAATATAACTATATACAGTGAGGCATGATACCAAACATACTTAATGTGTATTTCCATGTTTGTTGCCAAATTAGAATAACGCCTACTTTATATTTATTACATGCTCCCATTCACAGCACATACCTTAAAAGATATATTTAAAAATTGCTGTGTACATTTTTAAGTGCTTTTTACTTGCTTAAACATCCTAAATAGCTTCCCTCTATGTAATGTGTTCACATTTGGTCCCTTGAGCTGCATTTGTCTGCATAATACCTCACATGTATGGTGTTAATAGGGCACCAGGAAAACAAAATTCTGCATGCCCTGTTAACACTATACATGTGTGGTGGCGTGCAGAAAAATGCAACACAACTGACATGAGGCTCAATTCACACAATGGACATGTCAAAGAGAACTATGATCAAACACTTTTTGGCATTAGTTCTCTTTTGGGTCACAGGAGGACATTCACTTGCAGTGAGATCAACGTCCCTGGTTACCTGCTAACACTGACACTGATCTCCAAACAGCTAACTCTCCCTGGCGCCCCGGGAGTCTCCTGCTCCCGGCCGCCAAGGAGAGAAACACTGCTGTTTCCTTTTTTTTTCTTTATTCTGACACGATCGATGTCAGAATAGAAAAAAAAATAATTTTTTTTTTTCCCATTGAAAAGGATATGGGACATTACTATTGGCTATTTCAATTTGCAATAGCCAATAGTAAACTAGCATTGTACCCGCCCTCTGCTGCAGTTCCCCATCAGGTCCAAAATCTGCTCGGTACCTCTGAGGGACTGAGCAGAACAGCTGAGCCAAATGCCGCTATTCGGCTATTCACTCACTGCTGTTCAGCATCTTTAAGAATAGCAGTGAGAAGCCTGCCTGCTTCTCACTGCTTGGCGGCTGGGAGCAGGAGACTCCTGGGGCGCCAGGGAGAGTTTGCTGTTTGGAGATCAGTGTCCCTGGTAAGCAGGTAACCAGGGACGCTGATCTCACTGCAAGTGGCCGTAGCCAGCCGTAAGATCAAGTCCCGGCCTCCTGTGACAGCTGATAGCTGTCTCTGCCCCCACACCCCCTCTGGGAGAGGAGCTGTGTCAGCGCTCATAGCTGTCACCACCCACACACCACCGCTCTCCTGATCTGTCTTAGGAGGATGAGTGGTGCAGGAGGAGAGACGCCAGCCGCTTACATCACTGTCCTCCCACACTGCTCGGCCTCCTGTGACAGTTTCTATCCTATGCACCGCTATTTTGGCTGAAAGATGGCACTTTCGGCAGAAATGATTAGCCCTGGCAAATCTAATTATCATTTGTAAGCTAGATTTGAACAATGTCTGTCCTAACAAAGTGTTAAAGATCTTAAAAATTATTGAATGTTAATTTGGGGACGCTCAGTGTGTACCTAGTCATTCTATGGGGACAGACAGAGTTTCCTGTCATTAGAAAGACATAGCGAATATTGCAAAGGCCAGGTACACAGACAAATCTAAAAGGTAAGAAGTATTTTAAAATAATATATTTTTCAGTATGATGTGTGAATAGGAACACATAACAAACATATAGAGGGGATTTCTCAAATTTGATTGAAAAAGTGAAAATACACTTTATATTTGGAACAGCCCATCTCACCTTGATTTTTTTCCCCCCATGAGTCTCTTATACTAATTGTGGCCATTTCCTTGTTTCCTTTGCAACCCGGCTGTTTTGGTCAGTGTATCTTTCTGTAACTGAGCATAACTAGTTGTAGCCATTCACTAGTTCTAGACTTGTTCTATTATGATGAATATGTTTCATCACTTATTCAAGTAGCTTCCTCAGTTCTACATAGAACATAGATCTTAGAATTGAGGTAGCTACTTGGATGAGTGGTGAGACCAGGGCCGGATTTACTCTCTCTGCTGCGAGGCCAGGTTCCTCAATGCACCCCTCTAACCAACAACCAGCATGAAGAAAGGCAGACCTGCAGGCTGCATACAATGTGCAGGGCTGTGTGGGGTGTCAGGAGGCTGTGCGGGGTCTCAGGAAGCTGTTTGTGGTCTGACCAGGACTCTGCGGCATCTCACCATTGCTGTGCGGGTCTCACCAGGGCTGTGCCGGTGGGTGCTGGCAGCGGAAAGGAGGAGAAGATGTGCAGCCAGTGCTGTAAACAGGCATTGTGAGGTCTTGGATCTTGCAAGTGCAGGATCTTACGGCAACTGAACCTGTAAAAAAAATGTAAAGGTCGGTATCACCCTTTAGTATAAGGCTGGTATTGGTGCATCCTTAATCCCATCCATCCCCCCCTATAGGCATTAGACACCCCTACATTTCCCCTATAGGCAGCAGTTCCCCACCACAGAGGTGTATAGGGACAATGAGGACATGCTGGCCGGGGTGTCCCTAGACCGGGTGACACCCCGATGTGTCGTCATCGCGCATGCGCGGACATCTGATTGATGCCTGCCGGCGGCCATCTTGGTAATGGACGCCGGCAGAGAGGAGGGGCCGTTCATCCGGCGGGATGAGGTATGCCGCCGGGTCCCCTCCTCTCTCCTGACACCGTCGGGCTCTCGGTCCATGACCGAGTGCCCGACTTTTTAGATGGGGTGACACCAAAATGACTGTCAGTCATTTTGATGTCACTGCCTCTAATTGTGGCACCCGGGTGCAGGCCGCACCAACCTTGTGATGCCACTGAATGCTGGGACTTGTAGTTCCCTGTGTGATGTGTGTGTGGGGGGGGGGGGGGTGTACAGGTACAATTAGAGCATGCTGGGACTTGTAGTTCCCTAAGTGATATGCAAAAGGCTGTACAACTACATGCCCCATCATGCCCTCATTATCCCTGTACACCGAATATCAGCCTGGGAACTACTACAGGTCCCAGCATGCCCTCATTTTCCTTGTACAACTTCCCCCCATATCACCCAGGGAACTACAAGTTCCAGGATGCATGTCTCCTACAGTAGTTCCCTAGATGATATGTGGGGGTGTACAGGGACAACGAGAACATGCTGGGCCTTGTTGTTCTCTATGCTATGAGGCTGTATGAATTACTGTCGTTCTGAAAGTACAAGTAATACAATGCCACTATAAAACATAGAATAAAACATAGTTGACCTTAAAAGTTTCAAGTTAAATTATGTTGTATTCTATGTTTTATAGTGGCATTGTATTACTTGTTCTTTCAGGAGGACAGTCATTCATACAGCCTCATAGCATAGAGAACTATAAGGCCCAGTGGGACTGCCTGCTTGTAGTTTATTAGTAATACAATACTTATATAGAACATGAAATAGAATATATTTGAACTTGAAACTTTCAAGTTCAACTGTATTCTAATCAATGTTCCATAATAGCAAGTACACTAACCACCTACAACTGTCCTCCTAGCTGTAAAAAGGAAAAAAAAACACACACTGGGGTGCGGTAAAGCGGCAACTCACCGGCCGAGGCGTGTCTCTCTCCAGCATGAGGTCGCGGCTGCTGCTCGATGGGTCCTCGCGGCCGAGGCCCCAAAGCAGCCCCAGCATTTGCCTGTTTCAATATTGTTCTCCTCCCGGCCGGTCTGCTTGTCGCTGCCCGGCAGGCCGGCGCCCCCCCACC